TGGAATAAAGAGCCTTACAGATGTAAAGTCCGAGGAAGGGTAAAGAAAAAAATGGGGAAAAAATCGTCCTTCATGGAACCAGCCATCCTGAAGAGCTCACCGGCAGTGTTGTGGGTCTAAGAGCCGAGTCCTGGCCTCTGAGACTCTGAGACTGTCAGTCTCAGTGACCCAAACCGGAAGAGAGGCAGTCCTGTGCCTGAGGCTGGGCCTCTGGAATGCAGCTCCTTGGGCCTGGCCCAGGCCAGTGGCATCACTGGGGTGTGGCGCCTGAATTCCTGCATGGCTCCTGAGGCAATGCTTTTGGGAAGAGAAGGTTGGGAGCCCTGGTCTCAAAGGTGAATTTCAGTCCTCAGAGTAAGGCTGAAGAGGCCCGTGAGGAGGCAATGCTCTTAGATAAAACCTTCATATTTCAATGAGAAAACTGAAACCGGGGAGCCAAGTGATTTACTCAACAGCCTTAGCTTCAAGACAGGATAGGAGCCGGGCGTTGGTGGCGCACGCCTTTAATCCCAGCACTTGGGAGGCTGAGGCAGGTGGATCTCTGTGAGTTTGAGGCCAGCCTGGTCTACATGAGCGAGTTCCAGGACAGTCTCCAAAGCCACAGAGAAACCCTGTCTCGAAAAAACAAAAGCAAAAAGGCAGGATAGGAGTGAAGAACAGAGGGATCTAGAACACAGGGAGCATTGTTCTGAGAAGGAGCCCCCAGCCATCGGCACCCCAGTAGAAAAGCTTAGCATTCCTTATGTAGATAGGGTGGGTTGGGCGCAGAGACTCCTGTGAGGCCATCAGCTAGAACAGCAGGAAGAAGCTGTGACCATCCGGGTGGGACCAAAGTTATTCCAAAGGCAGACACTTGTGTTTCAGCTATCAGGGCACTGTGACAATGGATCCCAAGGACCTGGAATTTCCGCCAGGAATCTCACACGCTGGGAAAAGGAAGGGCTGGGACTCTGACACCAGCCAGAGAAGGAGTCTGTCTCCGGTGCCACCGACAGCTTGCCGGACACACATGGGAAAGGGTGTTGAGCTGAGGTGAGGAGGGTCAACCATGAGCTGAACCTTGATCGAGACTGCTTAGCTAGCCACGAATCTGCTCAAGTCTAAATACATCTGTGGTCAGGGATGAGATAAATGCCGGTGTACAAACTGCTTTCTCTTTTTTGTCACCACAGCTCTGGCTGGCCTGGAACTAGCAGAGATCCTCTGCCTCTGCCTCCAGGGCACTGGGATTAAAGGTGTGGGCCACCAATGCCTGGCTACTTTCTCCTTTTATTTTATTTTTTTTCCGAGACAGGGTTTCTCTGTGGCTTTGGAGGCTGTCCTGGAAATCGCTTGGTAGTCCAGGCTGGTCTTGAACTCACAGAGATCTGCCTGCCTCTGCCTCCCGAGTGCTGGGATTAAAGGCGTGTGCCACCTACTTTCTCCTTTTTATGCAGACCAGGACCCCAACCTGTGGAAGGAAGCTACCCACACTTACAGTTGAGTCTTTCCTAATGAATGAGCGAAACCTACAAATTCCCTCACGGATGTGCCCAGAGGTTTATCGTCTAGGTGCCTCTAGATTCCATCAAGTTGACAATCACTGTTACCAGCATGGCACCATCAGTAAGTAGGTATCGATCCACACTGGCAATGAGTCAAGGGGCCTCATTGTTACCACGGCTACACTGCTAGTCACACTTGTAGGAAGCAGCTAGTGTAGGAAGTGTCCTCACTTAGCCCTGGGTTCCAGCACCGCACCACATGAAAGCAGGTATGGTGCAGGTACATGCCTGTAATGCCAGCACTTGCAGGCCGTAGGATGAGACGTCCAAGATTATGTTTGTCTTCAGGCCAGCCTAGGATACATGAGACTCTGTCTCACAAAAGAGCACATTCAATAACAACAGTTTGTTTAAGGTGACCGCACCATCTATCAATGTCTTCTTCACTTCCTGGGGCTATTGTAAAAAGAGGAAAAAAAAGATAACGCTTAGCAGGGTCGCTCACCTGGAAATCGATCATCTTGGCATTGGAGATGCTAAATGCCTACATCAAGGTGTGGATGGGGCTAGCTCCCTCTGAGGCTCAGAGACGGAGCCTTGCCCAAGCTCTTGTCCTTGCCTCTGTTTCCAAATTTCTTTTCTTATAATGAAACAAATGTCTTCTTTGCAGGCTGAAGTGATGACACGGGGGGGGGGGGGGGGGTGGTGGAGATAAAAGCATCTGCTGTGCAAGCTTAAGGACCCAGGTTCTTATCCCAGCACAGCATAAGAAGCCAGGGGTGGCTACAAGCCCCTGTGAACGCAGCACTGTGGAGACAGGAGGATGGGTCACTGGGGTTACTGACCACCTCCAAGTTCAGTGAGCCCCGATACAAACATACCACGCTCACACATACATAAAACACTGAATTTTTTGTTGTTGTTGTTTTGTTTTTGTTTTTGGAGACAGGGTTTCTCTGTGGCTTTGGAGGCTGTCCTGGAACTAACTGATTTTTAAAAAGTCCTTGCTTGCAATGGCTTTTAAACCAAACTGAAATTGAAAAAGAAAAATGGCAACCGTCTCTTCTTAGGACACAGGTGCTGTTGGAGCAGATGCACCAAGCTCACTTCAGCCAAGCTCTTTTGTCTAAATAAGGCCGCACACTGACTGCTAGGGTCAAAGGCTTCCACAGAGCTCTTCTCTGGGTGACGAGGGATGCTAATGACTTCCAGGTGCTAACAGAGAGTGCCGCAAGCCTGGGGTTGCAGTGACACGCCTAGATTCTAAGTTTCAGCTCTGCATTGTTCTAACAAGTCACCCGCAGGGGGGACGAAGGGACCCTAGGAGGGAAGGAAAAAGCAAATAGCACCCAGGCGTCATCTGCACTCGCTGGTTGTTGGCCGTTGTCCCTGAGTTGAAGGAGAAGCAGGTGGCAGACATAAGATGGCATGGGTTTCCTATCCCTAGCTTGTATGATTTCTCAGTTCCTCTTCACCGTATCAAAGCTACACGAGAAGTATTTCATGCCAGTCGTGATGGCAAACGCCTTTAATCCCAGCGCTCGGGAGGCAGAGGCGGGTGGATCTCTGTGAGTTCGAGACCAGCCCGGTCTACAGAGTGAGTTCCAGGACAACCAAGGCTACACAGAGAAACCCTGTCTCAAACAACCAAAACAAACAACAAGAATGCAAACTGAGCAAGCCTGGGGGTAGCATGTCAGTAAGCAGCATTCTTCTGTGGTCTCCTCTTCAGTTCCTCCCCCAGATTCCTGTCCTGAGTTCCTGCCCTGACATCCCTTCAAGAGGGACTACACACTGTGACCTGAAATGAACCCTTTCCTCCCTGAGTTGGTTTTTGGTCAGTGTCTTACCACAGCAACAGAAAAGTGACTGAGATTTCCACAGGAGGTCATGGCAAAAGGTCATGGCACCATTTCCCTATTTAACACTCCAGATCTCGAAGTCAGTCGGGGACCACTTCCTTTCCATCCCTACAAGAGACTCTCCTCTGCTGACTACGTTCAGAGCCATCTTTTCAGACCCTTTCCTGTGACAAGCCTTCCTTAAAAAAGGAAATACTCTGAAGAAGCATGTCACAATAATGATCTGAACTGCCATGAGCATTTTTCAAAAATGGAAACTAATTAAAAACCTGCCATGGGTAAAAGGAACCTAGATCCATCTTGGAGCTCCTAATTCAGCAGTGGGGAGGGTGGACTTCAGAGCCATGGTCCTTGCAGATGCCCCCAAGAGCCCTGTGACTCAGCGGTAGCCAAGCGCGTCCTCTGCACTGGGCCAGGCAGGGCAGCTAGTCTGCATTTAGATACTGGCAGAGACTTGTTTCCTCCCTGAGTCTGTTTCTTCACTGCAAAATGGGGACGCGGATATGAGATAGAAACTGCTAATTGCCTTTCTCCTCTTTTCCTTTTTAAGAGCAAGATCTCCTTATTTGTTGGAATGTTTCGCCCGCATGTGTGTGTATCGTGTACGCCCGATGCCTGTGGAGTCCGGAAGAACACATCTGACTCCCTGGAGCTGGAGAGACAGACAGTGAGTGCAGGAATCCAGCCTGGCTCCTTGCAAGAGCAGAAAACTCCCTGTAACTGCTGAGCCGTGTCTCCAGCCCTCTCTGCCTGTTCCCGAACATTCGTTTTTATTTCAAACATACTACTCTTGCTGATCTGAGTCATCCGGCCTGCTGTCAGCACAGGAGAGTCCCTTGTAGGGATGAAAAGGAAGTGGTCCCCTCCACCGTCCAACGGGGAAACAATGTTAGGACTACACATGAGAAGAAAACAGTGTCTTGGTTCATTTTAGCTAATTTTCTACTGTTGTGGTAATATGCTGACCAGATGAGCATGTGTACATTTGAAGTTAAAATAAATGTTTAAAAACAGGCTTGCCTGTTGGTGGTGGTGCCTAGGTCTCCTGTGATGGTTTGAAGAGAAAAATGGCCCCTAAGCGGAGTGACACTAATAGGAGGTGTGGCCTTGTTGGAGTGGGTGTGGCCTTGCTGGAAGAAGTGCGTCACTGTGGAGGTGTACTTTGAGGTCTCCTATGCTCATATTACTCCCATCGAGACAGAGCACTTCCTGTTGCCATCAAGTCAAGATGTAGAGCTCTCAGCTCCTTCTCTAGCACCATGGCTGCCTGTGTGCCAACTTGTCACACCATGGTGATGATGGACTAAACCTCGGAATGGTTTCCCTTGTAAGAGTTGCCATGGCCAGGCGTTGGTGGCACACGCCTTTAATCCCAGCACTCGGGAGGCAGAGGCAGGCAGATCTTTGTGAATTTGAGTCCAGCCTGGTCTACGGAGCAAGTTCCCGGACAGCCTCCAAAGCAATACAGACAAACCCTGTCTCAAAACAAGCAATAACAACAAAAAAATGGTCATGATGTCTCTTCACAGAATAGAAACCCTAACTCAGACAACTCCCAACTGCTGAAGAATTGGAGTATCACACTGTTCCATCCTAAAAGCAACTCCCCAGCAAGCTGCATTACTCAAGAGGGATCCAAAGAAATTAACAGAAGGCAAGTCCAAGGGTGGATTTAATTGCTCTTTAAGCGTATACATAGCCAGAAAAAAAAATCGTATAACCAGCAATGAACAAGCTGGGTGCCCCCAGATTACCCAGCCATTGGGCCAGTGATTCCTGAGAACAGCACACTCCTCACAACGACCTGTGAGGCTCCCAGGACCCAGTCACCAATGAGACAGTCCCTTCCCTCCAGGGACTTCACAGTCTGGTGGAGACAGACAAGGGACCAAGGAAAACATAGATGAGGAAGCCAGCAATGAAAGACGCTCGCTAGAGCAAGCGTCAGAGGATCAGTGTCGGGGAGCCAGCAGGGGCCAGAGAGGCGGGGAGAGCCAGCGAGTCAGCAGGGAAGACTCTTGACTATATAGAGAGCACAGGTCATGTGGGGAACAGCGCCTTAGCCCTGCATGAGATACAGAGACTGGGGGGCCAGTGGGCATGCCTAGAACTGTAGGACACTCTGGGAGGTCCCTGGGACCTGGCTCAGCCGCCACCCAGGTCACTTTTCCTGTCACCGCACCGCTCCGTCCTTCTCATCCCTTAGAATACGTCACCTTTGCTCTGTGGGGCGGAGACAGGGACTTTGCACAGCTCTGTTGCCTTGGATGAACATAGTGCCTGGGACACCACGGTCTCGCCACGTGCTATAGTGTTGTGAACAAATGCATGACTGAGCAAGAGCTGGAGCACAGAAGGTATGATCAGCTATGCGCAGAAGCTTACGTTCTTACCCTGAGCCTTTTAGGGAGAGGAGGTCGCATGTTGTCCTGGTTAGGGTCACTTCTGCTGTGATGAAACACCATGGCCAAAAGCAAGCTGGGAAGGAAACGGTTTACTTGGCTGAGACTTCTACATCACTGTTCGTTATTAGGAAGTCAGGACAGGAACTCAAGCAGGGCGGGAACCTGGAGGCGGGAGCTGATGCAGAGGCCATGGAGGGTGCTGCTCACTGGCTCGCTCCACATGGCTTGTCAGCCTGCTTTCTAGCTCCACCCACCATGTGCTGGGCCCTCCCCCATTGATCACTAACTAAGAAAATGCCCTACCGGCTTGCCTACAGCCTGATCTTTTTTTTTTTTTTTTTTTTTGGTTTTTCGAGACAGGGTTTCTCTGTGGCTTTGGAGGCTGTCCTGGAACTCGCTCTGTAGACCAGGCTGGCCTCGAACTCACAGAGATCCACCTGCCTCTGCCTCCCGAGTGCTGGGATTAAAGGCGTGTGCCACCAACGCCCGGCTACAGCCTGATCTTACGGAGGCATGTTCTCAGTAGAGGTTCCTCCCCTTTCAGATGACTCCAGCTTATGCCAAGTTGACATAAATTAGCCAGCAAGCACAAAATTTAGGAAGCAGAGGATGGGATAGAATTGCGGAGAACAGGAGGAAGGAATTCTGTGGTTGTGGGGGTGAGGGGCAGCCAGGACAGGGCTCACTCTCGAGAACAGCCTGTAACCTCTGCTCTGGGCTTATTCTGTGGTAAATAAGGGTCTGTGCTTCCCATGCGTGGGTCCCTGGCATCCTCGGAACCACCCGAGGAGATGAAAGTAAAACAAAGGAAAGTGAAACAGCTGGGTCTGATCACAAGGTCGGCGAGGCAAGCCTGCACCCAACCTGTGAGCTTGACCTCGGGGCTCTCCCCATGGATGCTTGACTGTGCGGAGGGTAGGATAGGTATACAAGGGAGGGCGCAGCTGGAGGCTTGATAGAGACGCACAGGGTGAAGGCATCAGAGGGGGACCGGCTACGGTTCACTCTGACTCTCCTGTCATCCCATCTGCCTTAGGTATCTTTGTTCATCCCTTGTGGCCTGAGCTGCTCCTGGAAAGAGTGGGGACCAGAATATCTCCTGAAAGCCTGATGCTCCTTCAGGGTGGGCAAGCCTGGGGAAGCACACTGTGTCTTACCTGACAGGACAGGCAGAGTACTTTAAACTGCTCCTCTGCCAGACATCTGCGCGTACAGGATGCCTGCGGTTCTCACTTCGGGTAAAGGATGCCGGCTGATCTGACTTCGTCTTTGTAATCCAGCCTCCAGGACAGCCGCTGCTCTCAGGTGCTCCTGGGCATCTCCTAGGCATGTTTTCAGATCTCAGAAGACCCCTGCACACACACACTATTGAAGCTCGGTTCCCCACGGAAGTTGCAGACTGAAGCATCTTTGTTCTTGTTAAGTGACTCATGGAGGCCCTTTACAAGGGAATGAAACAGACATGTTTTGATGGGGGAAATACATGAAGAATGCAGCTATTTTTCCCCCAAACATCCATCAGCCCATCTAATTTAGACCAATGAGGGCAAATGCGCCAAAAGCTCCCAGCTGATCTTCCCCGTGAGGATCTTGTGTCCTGGTCCTGAGCCCAGGCTGGGGGTGGAGGGGTGAGGAGCCTGACCCTGGCGGGAAAGGGAAGTCAGCTTTCCCAGGGCTGTTGGGAAAAGATGCTTGTGTAACAGTCTGTTGTGTTTCTAGGCCAATCATTTTCTGTAGCCCTGTAATGGGATAATCACAAGTTCTTTTATGCAGAGTTTACTGTATGTACAACACAGTTCTGGTATAGCAATTCAAGTGTCCTAGCCTCCTGAAGGAAGAACTGAGGTTTGGGAAAGTAAGTGACTTACCTTACCCAAGGTCACATAGAGGGCATCTCTGTGGGGACAGCCAGGCAGCTACAGTGTCTGACGAGACTAGCTGTTCTCAACCTGTGGGTTGTAACCCTTTGACTAACCTCTGTGGTTAAAACTTGCCTGAGGATTCAGAAAGCAAAGTCAGCCTCAAATTGAGATCCTGAAGTGGCGGCACCTCCCTTTAATCCCAGGATTTGGGATTAAGAGGCCCACAGATCTCTGTTAGTTCAAGGCCACCGAGGGCTACATGAGATCGAATCAGTCTAAAACAGAAACAGAGCTCACACCTTTAATCCCAGCAATAGAGAGATATAAAAAATAGGAGCAGGGTCTTCAGTAATCAGTCTCAGGATTCTCCAGCCACATCAAGGAGAGCAAAGCAGTCTGGGACTGCAGTCTGAGGTTTGATGGAGCCAGGATTGCCTTTCAGTCTGAGGTAGAGGTAAGAGTTAGTGACCTGCTACTTTGCTTTTCTTTCTTTTTTTTTTTTTTTTTTTGGTTTTTTGAGACAGGGTTTCTCTGTGGCTTTGGAGGCTGTCCTGGAACTAGCCCTTGTAGACCAGGCTGGCCTCGAACTCACAGAGATCCGCCTGCCTCTGCCTCCCAAGTGCTGGGATTAAAGGCGTGCGCCACCAACGCCCGGCTGCTACTTTGCTTTTCTGATCTTCTACTTGAAGCTTGAATCCCAATATCTGTCTCTGGGTCTTTTATTTATCGTGCTACAAACCTCTATCTCCAAAAATATCTACATTAAGAGTCATGATAGTAGCAAACATAGTTATGAATTAGCAATGAAAATAATTCTGTGGTGGGGGAGGGGTCACCACAGCACGAGGAACTGTTAAGGGGGGGCAACATGAGGGAGGGCTGATCACCACTGCTCTAGACTGTACCTGAGTGATAAACATTTTCTTAGGCTGTATTTATTTTGTGTGTATGGCTATTTTGCTTGCATGTATGACTCTGTCACACAGGAGTGCCTGGTGACCTCTGAGGCCAGAAGAGGGCATAGGATCCCCCTGGGACTGGAAGTACAGATGGTGGCGAGCTGCCATGCAGTGCTTCTGGGACTCAAACCTGGGACCCCTGCAAGAACAGCCAGTGCTCCTAATCCCAGAGCCATCTCCCCAGCCCCTCGCCTAACCTTTCTGAGGCTTGCTTCCTACTGTGTAGTAGGAGGTGGATGACACCGTTATGGGAGGGGACCGTCTGACGTGGACCCCGGTGAGTCCTATACGTCTGCTTATTTGGTTCCCTAAGGATTCGGGGCCCCTCTGTGAGTATGCATTGTTGGGTGGAGAAGCGGAAAAAGCAGCCACAGTTTCTACTACGGGCCTCCAGCATATCCTGATGTATTGTTGTGAAAACTGCCTGAATGAACGATGAGGGTAAAAGCATCCCTCATACACACACACAGCCAACAGGAACCCATCAGCCGTGAACCGCAATGCGCCCTCCCTGCCGAGCGTAGACAAATGCCGGCAGTAGTTCCTGTGGCTGTCAACCTTGGTTTCATCACCCGGGCTGAGCTTGTCCTGGGTTTTCAGGGGGTTTCCAGGAAACGCGGCTGGTTTGCATCAAGCTCTTTGGATGGGGGAAATCCCGTGTTTGCAGAGTGGAAGCAACAACAAATCTCAGCGAGACGGGCACCAGAAGCAGCGCTCGGACTTCTGGCCACGAGTGTGAGTGATCCAGGGCAGCTCTGGCCCTGCAGCCCCATCTCTGGCTCCTTAAGGAAATGATATCCACACGGAGGGCAGGCGTCTCTGCAAATGAATTGCCCTGGGTGGGCATTCCTGACCACTGCACCTCCTCTCCTTTTGTCCCCACCCTAGTTCGAGAAGTTCCACGTAGACGGTCCTTCACACCACCTATGGAGGTGGCAGTAGACTGACTGGCCCTGCTTATACATGTGTGGCAACGGCATCGACCTCCCTAGGACTGTGTACGACTCCTACATCTCCCCTTGGGAAGCCAGGCATGTGGTAGCCCCCTGTGACTCCCCTGCCCCTCAAGCCTCCTCTCGATAGTGGACAGGCTTGATAGCATGCCAGCCAATCTATGTCACTTTCTTGTGATTAAGACCCTTAGAAACGGGCTTTGATCGCTCAGGACAGAAAAGGCCCCGACTAATCCAGAGGGATTTTATACAGCATGTGCAACGGCCAAGCTGAGCAGTGTGAACACTGGTTTGGTAGGGAGAGGAGAGGCCTGGGGGGGGGTAGCATAAAGAGCACACGTCCTGGGAGCTCCTGTGCCTGTGTCCCTGTGTTGTGTTCACATTCCAAATGAGGTCTTCCAAAGAACACTTCCAATTTCAATCTGTAGTCAGTTATTGACTGCTGACTATGTGGGAAGGCAATGGGTTTAAGTCCCCATCCACATAAGATGCATAGGGCAAGACAGGGCAAAAATCTACTGTTAGAAAAAACCAAGCTGGGCCGTCTTTAATCCCAGCATTTGGGAGTCAGAGGCAGGGGGATCTCTGTGAGTTCAAGGCCAGCCTGGTCTATAGAGTGAGTTCCAGGACAGTCTTCAAGGCTACACTGAGAAACCCTGTCTGGAAAGACTAAAAACTAAAGAGAGAGAGAGAGAGAGAGAGAGAGAGAGAGAGAGAGAGAGAGAGAGAGAGAGAGAGAGAGAGAGAGAGAGAGAGAGAGGAAAACCAAGCTGATTTTAATAACATTCAGGAGTCCCAGAAGTCTAGTGACATAGATGCCCCGATGGCCTTGAGAGCCCAGCAGTGAGGCTGGAAGGTGACACAAACAGGGTGGTCTGGTGCCCTACTAAGCGCAAGAGAAAATGAGAGAGACCCACTAAGCATAAAAGAAGGCAGAGGAGCTGCTGGGGGCAACTTGATTGGCCACTGTGAGCAGCAGGGAGTCATTGCAGGAGAGGCCCAGGACAAGCGGTGAGGCTTAGTCACGTGACAGCTGAGCATCAGGTGGGGAGGCTCAGGGGAAAACGCCCACCGCCCTGTGTGCTCCAGAGGCTGACTTGGGGCACAGTGTCTAGAGAGCGATTCAAAACCGGAGAGTGAGGCCAAGGCCGGCTTTGCTCTGCCGTTTCACTGTTATGAGCTTCAGAGGGGACATCAGTGATGTGTCCTCCCCCCCTTACAGGCAGCATGGGCAAAACCCTGTCACTCATTGCATTCCATTTGCATATCTGTCATTAGTTTGGCAATAAAAATGGACAAAATGTATAAGCACATTTACTAAAACCCTGCAAATGTAAGTAGCAGAAATTCATGGACAAGAACTGCAGGGGATAACTATAAAGACAGACAGAATTCGGAGCCTAAATTACGGAAATAACCTCGCAGGTATAAGCTAGACCCCGGCCCGACAACGGAAGGAGTGTGCATTTCCCTCTTATATGGTGATGCTGTCCCAAGGCAAAGCCTGTCACTCAGGAAATGGGGCATTTTAAAACTTCATCTGTACATGAAAAGGAGTCAATTATCTCTTCCCAGACATCTCTTCCCTGGGTGATAGATAGGTGCTATTAGTGTGTCCTTGGCAAAGACCTTGCCATGTTTTAAAATACCTTTGGCTGGATTATTCCTGGCCCTGATTCTTCTGGGGACCCAAGTCTGGGGAACTGCTAAATCTGTGGAAACTTCCTGAGCTCACTTGGACCCCAGAGTCTCTGCTGTGGTCCCTGGAGGGACCTCGGTGCCCTAGGTGCTCATCCTCTCTCGGGTGGCATGAGAAGGATAGCTCTGTGGTGTGAACAGAGGCCTGGGCTGGTCCCCTCTCTGCGGAGCAACCTTGGTCGTGGGATGGTGAAGATGGAGCTGGCTGGTGGCTGAGACCTACTTGAGGTCACATTCCATTTTACTCACTTCAGACAGGCAGCAGTGTCTAGCAGCCGTGGGAATGACTGACCGTCTTCCACAGAGAAATCCTTAAAGCTGAAGCTAGGAAGTGGGAATGGAGGGGGGTGGGGGTCAGGCTGCAAGGCCCTGCCTAGTCTCAGCTTCATCTCCAGGAGAAGTAACGGTTGGATATCAGCATCCTCATTCTCGGTCAGGTGATCAAGGTGGTCAAGAGGATCCTGAAGTGCCACCTCCAAGAGTAGGTAGGCTTCTGGCATGTTCTCCCCATAGACAAACCAAAGACAGCGGTCTCTTCTCTCATCTGATTCACAAGGCTTGTTTTTTTTTTCCCCCTTGTCAAGGAAGGTGCAATGGAGAGCTAGCTTAATTTGAAACTTAAAAAGGCACATGCTATGATACAGCTTGAGAGGGACTGAGGGACAAACATGCCATGTAGACTAAGCTTATGTGGGGAGTTTTATTGGGAAAGGGAAGGAAGAGAGGGGAGAAAGAGAAAGATAGAGCGGCAGAGAGCCTGGCATTGGTGGTCCACGCCTTTAATCACAGCACAGGGACAGAGGCGGGGGAATCTCTGTGAGTTCGAGGCCAGCCTGGTCTACAGAGCAAGTTCCAGGACAGGTTCCAAAGCAATACAGAGAAACCCTGTCTCGAAAAACAAAACAAAACGGAAAACACAAAGAGAGACAGAGAAAAGGAGGAAGAGAGAGATGGGGAAAGACCGGCCTGCCTGCCTCTACAGAGGAACAGCAAGGAGAGGGAGGGACGGAGGGAGGGAGGGAGGGTGAGCTTGTCTCTTAAAGGAACCTTTTGGGCCTGCATACAGAGCCAGGATACTGCTTGTCATGCTCGAACTCTGTCAGGT